GCTTCACTTTTATATGCATGCCTTATTTCAAAACGTAAAGGACATCTAATGCACGTTAAGTGAACTGTACAACGGAGGAGACTCTCAAAGGCCGCAGAGACTAAAGGCAATAAAAGGAGGGAACAGTAGGTCAACCTCAGAAGATGTTCCTGTGGCATACAGAAATTGGATGAAGTTCCTTATTGACAGCAGAAAGACAACAATAGCCAGCTAACGCCTGACACTTGCTAACCGTGAATTTCAATGGAGACAGAGGAGGAAGCCAACACAGAAAAGGGCAGTGAGCTGCCCAGAGTCAGATCTGGACGTGGGGTGCCTGAGTTGTCATCTATTGCACTATGTTCTTCACTAACCTGCCACTTCCCATTTCCATCAACGTGACTAAAAACTCCCAGGCTGTTGCATTACTGGATGAGGCTGCTCAAGCAGCAAATTCACTCAGTTTCCTGAGACTGTGAGCATCTAACATAATCCTTAACTGTATTCTGACATTCAGTGGTTCTTTACACTATGTCTTTAGAGATGAAGCGAAGACAAGTAAGCCTTAGCCTACGTGGGGCGGAGGGAGAGGGTACCTTTCGGTGGCTAGAGCCTCGCGAGCAGAGGTCTCCCATGGCACAGCAGTTCCTGGCATCGAGCAACTGAAGAGATGAGGTCAGAGAGAAGCGGAGTCTGGGTGAAGACAAGAGCGGCATGAAAGCCTGGTGCAGCAGAGCAAGTAGCGAGAGGCAGCGAACAAAGGGAGCAACGCACAAGCTGGTCCTTCTGAGGATGCTGTGGGAGGGGCAGCGAAGACGAAGGAAGGGGTATGGGTGTAGGGGTTGTGTGTGTAGGGAATGAATATCTTCTGCCAAGGAAAAAAGGTGGGTTTCCAGGTCTGTTTTTAATTGCATTATCCAGTCCTGTTGATATAACCTTCTCAAAGAAGCTCGCAGAGGCACTAAACAATAATTAAGGCACTACATTCCCAAAGTCCTCTTTTGTTTTATGCTATGGGTAATCTTGAAGCTAAGGGGAAAAGGGAATGCAGCGCAACGAGCTCCACCAGGGCACGGAGCTGACAGACTGTTTAAATGTAATGGTGTCTCAGCTCTCAGAGGAGGAGAGGATCTCCGATTTCAGGCCTCTGAAGTGCTAAATTACCAAATGAAAACTGCAGCAAGTTCCACCAAAACTGCAGCCATCAAAACTACACATTGTTTTTAACAAACAAAAGTTGACAGAATAAAGGATGGGGGTTGAGGGACATCTGCACTGTACGCCAAGGTTTTTCTAAAAATATTTTACACCTGCTATTCGTTCCACACACTGATCATATTTTGTCTATGAGGTAGAGAACTCGTAGTGCCAAAGGGAATGTGGTTTATGTTCCTGAGTCTTAACGCTTTTTCCCTTCTGTAAAGGAAAACTCTTTACTACCATCACTAAAATAAAGCCAAGAGGACAAAAGTCATACGCGCACTGCCACGGTAACAGTTTAACCGTTCCTCTTGCCAGGATTTTACAGCTCTGGCACTTCGATTTAGCGAACTTTTTATGCAGCTCATGAGAGGAATGCAGCCAACTCTGTACACTCAATTTAAATCAACTTGCTGATGATATAAAAAAGAGTGCTGAACTGCCGGTTTGCTTCATCTGCTCCAAAACTACCAACACAAACTCTGAGGTATTTATTCCTGAAACGTTAATAGAACAGTCTGGGGTGTCAGATCAGTAAATGAACTCTGGTTTGATCCCATGCTAGTCCAAAGAGCTGATTTAACAACTAGTTATTTGGTTACCTGATGTTTCAGAAATGCAACTGGGCTGTTTGCTACTAACAGGCTTTTGCACGTTGCAATACGGTGGGAGCACAGGGTGCAGACAGCTGGGCACGCGGCCATGCTGTAGCTGGGTAATCATCTGCCACGGTTGTCTGTAGCAAGAGATCGTACAAGCGATGTTTAATAGCTTTCTAATTTTGCATGGTGAAGACGAGGGATGGATCTTTCTGTGTCTTACACCCAATCCTTACTTTGTATAAATTATGATAGCTTAGTTGAAGTTAAGAGAACTATAAAAACTTGTACCCACCAAGACTCCAGTGCCAGGCCAGCCCGTGCCCTCTGGATTCACATCCGCAGCAGGGACCTTTGAGAGCACGACGCAGCAATGAAGCACTACGTATTGTCAACTCCACCTGCAAGCTCGCTCTCCTTTGCAGAAATAATCAGAGCAATTTAATTTTGGTGACCGATACTAGACTTCTGACCAAGAGTAAGGTCTGTCGTCTACCCACAAAACAAATGCAGCACAGACCGTAGCTGTCCACTGAATCCTCTCTACCCTCCCATGCCAAGATGCCTCTGAGCTCAATTTCACAGATCTCAGATTACGATTTTCAAAAGTTATCCACTTGTGCTGAATTGAGTGAGCCTTACAGATGAAAGGGCTTTTAACTTGTGCTTGGGTGGGGACTTTGAGTGAAGAGACAGGATGCACTAAGCAGCACTGAGGGGCACGCATACTTAGGGTTTTACCCTTTTCTTCACTGTAAATTAAAGACATCTTCCGAGGTTTAACTTACACCAGCAATTTTAAGGAAGTAAATTGCATGTTCACAAGAGAAAATACAAAAGAACTTGCACAACTGAGCAAATGCTTCTTTTTCCCCCTTCACTCCTTTTTAGGTCCTTTCTCTCAAAGCAAATGCACTTACTTGACAGCATGGCTCAAGAGCAGAATACTGGGTGCGTGCACATGAAACCATGCATGACTTGGCACTCATTTAGAACAGAATGTTGCAATGTAAATGTTTGATTTAACAAATTCAGCACCAAAATTTAGCAAAAGATAAATAAATGGGTGAAGTAGACTGAACAGAAAGCACAGATCTTTAATTTCTATAAGGAGTAAGAGAAAACATTAAAAATCTTCACATTTGCATGCTTTGAGAAAACTGGAAGCTCTCTCTACGGATTGTCTCCTTGCAAAGCACCATAAACAACCTATGGAGGACAAAACCCTGCTTATTAAAATCTTTGTATTAAAAGGTGCTGCAAAAAACAACCTTGTTTCCAGAGATTCTTCCTTGCTGCAAACCACTGCCCTTCATACGTAGAGCTGGCTACAGTGGAAGTGAACAAATCAGCCTGGGAAGAGGATAAGCTCCATGACCTTTAAGACAAATCATCTCAGTTTAAACCACAGGAATAGAAATATTACAGAACATGTAGAACAGTCTCCACTGTTAAAGTTGCTCAACCTTCTAGACAGTTCAGGTATTATTACTGTATTGTAAATACTAAAATTGTAGTAAGTCTTAAAGTCTAGGCATACAAATAGAAATAATACACAGAGCTAACATTGTCCATTTTTCAGTAATTGATCCATTATTTCTTTTTCTAATTTTTTTCGAATTCCTTTTTAAAGCAAAATCATCCACTTAAAATTAGATGCCAAATGATGCACTTTTAAGTACAGTTCTGTCCACTGATGTTCTGTTAGTTGAAAGATAAACCAGATGGCAAACTCAATAAAAAGGAGCCAGTTAAATACAGACAGATGAATGCCTAAAAAAACCATTCGCTCCATTATTGCTTTTGAATTGGTTGTCATGGCATTAGAAATTTATACCATTGTCAGCCTCACGTCTCCACCCTGACCATTTCTTCATAGCCTCTATCCAAAGCAAAGATCTCACACTGGTGTTGAAAAACACCCTCTTCCTTACAGCACTAGGCTCCACCAAAAGCACTAGTTTTCCACCAAAACTCTGCTCGCACCAAACTGGGGGTGTACGCATGCATGGAATTTACACCTTTTGTAAAATCAAGTGCATGAAGTAGTAAAAGACTGATCTTCAGTGTCAAAATCCAGTTTCAGAATACTAAAGTTCAGATAATTTTAATCCTGTACTCCTTCTGTGGCTTAGCATTCATCATCATGAGCCAAAGGACTATCCGCTTGGCATGTATCTTCTCTTTGTACAACTGGAACTGCCATGGAAAATAAGTTGATGTTTTGTAAAATCAAGTGCATGAAGTAGTAAAAGACTGATCTTCAGTGTCAAAATCCAGTTTCAGAATACTAAAGTTCAGATAATTTTAATCCTGTACTCCTTCTGTGGCTTAGCATTCATCATCATGAGCCAAAGGACTATCCGCTTGGCATGTATCTTCTCTTTGTACAACTGGAACTGCCATGGAAAATAAGTTGATGTTT